GCCCTCTCTAAGCAGTTTACAGAGTCAGCATATTGCCCCCACCTCGGAAGGATGGAAGGCTGAGTCAACCTTGAGCCGGTGAGGTTAGAACCGCTGAACTGCAGATAACAGTCAGATGAAGTGGCCTGCAGTACTGCACCCTAACCACTGCGCCACTTGATGGCATCAGGTGAACTATCCCCATTGTTATTTTCCATCCTCCCAGGTTATTATAATTTTTCAAGATTGATCGGGCAGAAGGTACCAAGGCAAGATTTTCCTTGTAAATCATATCATTTTCATATTTTAACATAACAAAGATAGAAAGACATTGGATTCTCTTTGCCATAAATAAGCCAGCAGAATTCAGCTAATGCATCCCATTAGGCTCAGAGTTGGAAGGGACCTTGGAGATTGTCTAGTCCAGCCCCCTGCTCAAGCAGGAAACCCTATACCATTTCAAGCAAATGGTTGTCCAATCTCTTCTTAAAAACCTCCAGTGGTGGAGCACCCACAACTTCTGGAGGAACATCATTCCACTGATTAATTGTTCTAACTGTCAGGAAATTTCTACTTAGTTCTAGGTTGGATCTGTCCTTAATTAGTTTCTATCATGGGTGTGTTGCTCCCGGCATTGCCACCAGTCTGGTACGTGCAAAAATTTTCCTTGCTCGCATGCATGCATGTAGCATTTGCACAAAAATAGGTCTGCACATGCTCAAAGTGTTTAAAAAGGGGGGAAATTAAATTTGTGCAATTACAATTGTTGTGCACGTGCACAGAACCGAAAATCAAGATGGCGGCCCCGTAGGAGAAACAGTTTGGGGGCATGGCAGGCCTGGGTTGCTGCCAGTTCAAGTGACCCAGGCTGCCAAGTTACTACTGGTTCAGCCAAACCAGCCCGAATCGGTAGGAACCCACCCCTGGTTTCCATCCATGGCTTCATGTCCTGCCTTCAGGGTGCTTTTGAGAATAGGTTGACACACACACACACACACACACACACACACATGCCCCTTAGACATTTGGAACACCACTTGGACATTGGAACACAGGTATCATGAGGAGTAGGAGGCACAATGGCACAGCACATGATGGTGGCAGTGGAGAAATCCCAAGATCCACAAGGAGCTAGGACAGTGTTTTTCAACCTTTCCAATGCCGTGACCCTTTAATACATTTCCTCAGGTTGTGGTGACCCCCCCACACCATAAAATTGGTGTCTCAGTTCCTAAGACCATCGAAAATATGTGTTTTCTGGGTCGTTCAACCCTCAAATGGGTCATTCAACACCCAAAGGGGTCCCGACCCACAAGTTGAGAACCACTGAGCTAGGAGGTCCTGCCAGTAAGAAACCGCTACCCTGTATCTTCAGACAAAACATGGCAAATGATCTTTGCACCATTTTTCTGGAGCAG